AAAGAAAGAAAGAAAAAGAAGGAAAAAAAAAAAAAGACCCTGTCTCAGTATGCATGTCTCTTAAACCTTCCAGGAGAGCTGAAAGGAAGAAGCCATTATTCTCATCTCAGGAATATTTTCTAGTATTCTGTCTTAATGATCAACAAAGAGAATAGCCCAAGATTATATGGCATTTAGCTGTTTAAATCCTCATTACTTTAAAAAGCTGAAATTACTTCAAGTACTAAGTCCAATCATTGGATCCATAAATCATTTTTCAACAAGCATTTTGTTAGCCAAAGGGAAATACTGTGGAGAACGGAAAACCAACAACAGGGAGCTTGTCCCAAACCCACGGAAAGAAAACCCACCTGTGATGGCATGCCCCGTGCTTGTTTCCTAGGATGGCCTTGAACTTGCTGAGTCATAATATTACAATTTCGTGCTTAAACACAGCCAGAGACACAGTGGCCCACTGGCACCAGCCCATGTGGGTCTTTGAGCACTCACTGTCGAATTTGCAAGCCAAGAACAAACAACCTTTGTTAAAAATTAAAATATATAAGCTTATGATTAAGTAAATTACAACACGAACTCAATGCCTCACAACTGACTGACTTCCTGTTGCTGCTCTGATCTGGCTGAGGGGAACGAGGTCTACATGCACGGCCCAAATACCACCTCATGGCGCGCGATCTGCATGACTTTCTAAGCTCAAGTTGGCTGATGTCACTCCAGCTGCTCAAAACCAATCACAATGGGGGTATTTACACTGTAGCAATCAGCAATGCCACGCATCAGAACCCCTGCTGTGTGCAACTCAGTAGCTAAACATCCACCAGTCCACTGTGGACATCCGTGGCAGCTTTTTCTTAAGATGACTAGGAGAGAATTGAAGAACTAACCAACCTCCCAAGATTACAAGCAGACCATCAAACCAAATAGCATTGAAAAAGACCACCCAGAGGTGCCAATCAGTCAATTATTGACCCACCTGCCCACCCCCGACTTCTTTCCATCCCCTGCAGGAATTACATCTACACTGCTGCAACGTGGAAGATAAATGCAACCCTAACACACTGCCACATGAAGTCCTATAGTGCCACCCGTATGTGCATATGTGTCGGAAATGCTTTATATTCTGTAACTAAGTTAATCAAACCCAAGAGACGCACCTAAGGTACCTAAATTGACTTAGAAATGCATGCATAAGGAAGCCACGTTCTTGCGCTCCTTGGTGAAACTACATACACAGTCAGCTCTGTACGTCCACGGGTCCTGCATCCACGCAGGCCACATCCACAGATTCACTGAGATTAAAAGTATTTGGAAAAAAATCAGTTGTGTCTGTGTTGAAAATGTGCACTTTATCATTATTTCCTAAATAATACTCTAGAACTATTACAGATGCTTCACATTAGATTAGGTATCAAGTAGTCTAGAGATGATTTAAAACTATATAGGAGGATGTGTCTAACACATGCAAATGCTACTCCACAAGGGACTTGACCACCCAAGGGTTTTGGTACTCATGAGCGTCCTGCAGTCAAACCCCCAATAGTGTGAATACTGAGGGAGGCCTGTAGGTGCATGTGTGTAGCTTATTGTAAGCGCACACTCTCAGTAAAGTGGAAGCACCAGCTATATGCGTACATTTGTGTACTGATGCACATACCTACGCACATACGCGCACACACGCACAAGTTTTGTTTCTAGTTTATTTCTCTCCTCCTTAGGAAGTTAAACAGCAGAAAAGAGAAAGAAAAAAAAACCCACCATTGCCCTTTCTCAGATATGTACACATTTTATCCTTGCAATATGTCTGAAGTGATTTTATGACTAAATCCTGGGAAAATGTGAAGAATGCTTGGCTAGGAGCAAGCCTTTCCAGGAAAAACACAACGCTGCTCATGAACTGCAGCGCTTGGAGACATCTTTTCAGCATCATGTACATTTTTGTTTTAGCTGGAGACCGAATCTTGTTTGGATGTAAGTTTCCTTTGGCTTTCACAGCCAGTGTAGCTGGTTGCGGGACGCGGGCCTTGGCAGCGCTCGCTGAGGGGGACGGAGGAGGAGCTGCTCTAGCAGCACAGCACGGTCCCAGATGCCAGCCAGGGTTCAAACCTTGAGCTGTTTTCCCAACACATTAAACAGAAATAACGACAACCTGCCAAAAATCAACCCATCTGTCCCCTTGTCAGGAGGTTTGAGACCGTCAGCTGACCAACCTTGGAGCCGGGAAGCTTTTGTGAAGCCCTTGACAAAAAATTAAATGTAGCCACAAATGGTGTAAGTTCTTAGAGGTCGCCAGTGACTTTCTAATGCTCTTGAGATTAGAGGATGGAGTTTCCATTTTATCTCAGCTCTGGTGCGTGCGTGAGGATGACCTGACATGACGCGAGGCCCCATCTCCGGCATTTTCTTGGCATGAACCTTCCTAGCTATTCCAGGAAAACTGTTGGGCAGGGAGGGGGCACGAGATGCCAGTCTCTGCGAGGCCACTAAAGTGATGAGGCAGTCAGAGAAAAGCAAGCACTTCCTCAGAATTCCTAAAGAAAGAAAGAATGGAAAGAGTGGCACATTCCTCCTTTTCTTAAGTTTTCCCCCTTTGGTACGGGAGGTTGAGCATGTGGCCGTTGTACTGAACTACATCCCAGCCCACTTTTCCCGTTGAGGCGTGGTCTTGCTAAGGCACTAAGTCACTTAGGCTAGGACTGAACTTGTAGTCCTGCGTTGGCCACTGAAATGCTGAGATTACAGGCAGGCACCACCATGTCCAGGAGGGTGGTACATTCTGGGCAGAACTTTAGTTTTGCATCTTGGTTCTTGTAGCAGACATGAAGTGGAAGGGGTGAGAGTGGGGTTAACTCTGGTTCTCCGTGGGGGTGACGCTGCTCTCTAAGGGACACTGCGCAATGTCTGGACAGTTCTGGGTGTCGCGACTATGAGATGGCAGAGGCCAGGGCACTCGCATCTCACAGCGCAAGGACAGCAGGCACCCTGGGGCCTGGGCAGGGCTCTAGGGCTGCTTCTTCTGTCCACATTCACAAATGCCTACTCTTCTGTCCACATGGCCATTTGCTCCTATTCACTGATGCAAGGAATCAGCTTCTAGGCCACCTTCTGTCCCTATAGATGTCCTATGTACTGGGTTGTCGTGGCGCCTCTTTGTCCTTGCCGCAGTCCTGGCACGCTTTGGTGACCCCAGGCATGGACACCTCACACAAGAATTCTTGCTTCTGGGTCAGTAATATAGCTCAGTGGCACAGCACCCCTGGCAAACACAAGGTCCTCAGCTTGACTCTCAGTACCAAAAATAATTCCTGCTTCCTTAGCCTTTCCTACAGTGGCAATCACCACTCCCCAGGCCCAAACTTTCATTCATTCATTAAACATTCAAGCCAGGTCCCTTTCATGTCTGACTTTGTCTAAAGATATTAAGAACTACAATAGGCCAAGCATTGGCCGTGACTCATCCACATGGCTGACACTGACAAAGGTTCTACAATCTGAGGTACAGGATCTCAGAATAAATCCTGAGGGCATTTCACTGACCTTCTCAGTCCAAAAAGCTATAACTCTTGTTGCACAGGTCCTGCTTTACCTTGGTCTTAACCATCCAGTAGAAAAGTATGAAGAC